ATCTAGGTTATAGATTCCTACAGTACCCTGTCCTTCTCTCTCACAGTGCTCCCACATTTGATATTTCTTCTTTAATGTTGGTCTTCCCTGTAAGACTGTAAGTCCCATTGTGTGCACTTGGATTCAATTCTTTATTCCCAAGTGCCTTCTTCTGAGGACTTAGTAAACATTTGTTTACACAATAAATGTGATTGTTGCTTAGAAGGATAGGCATTTATGAAACAGTGAGCTTATACTCTTATAAGCTTATGCAAAGAAATAAATTCACTGAAAGGGTTTCTCTGCCGACCCTGGGCAGGGCAAAGTTAAGCGCTTGACTGCTTACTAAAAGGTCAGTGGTTTGAACTCCCCCAGAGGTGCCTCGGAAGACAGGCCTGGTATGCTGCTTATGAAAGGTCATAGCCTTGTAAACTCTATGGAGTAGTTCCACTCTGCACACGTGGAGTCTCCATGAGTCAGAATCAGCTGGATGGCAACTAATAGCAACAACAACTATACATATAAATATGTATATGTATGTATGTATATATATATGTGTGTGTGTGTGTATGTATAGTTCTTCAATTCAAGTATATATATATATATAGAGAGAGAAAAAAGCAGTCTAGCACAGTGCTTATTTACAGCGCAGGTTCTAGAGCCAGATTGCCTGGATTCAGACCCTAAGTCTGCCACTTACTAACTGTATAACCTTGGCCAAGTTACTTAACTTTTCTATACCGCCGCTTTTTATCTGTGAAATGGAGATAACAATAGCACCTACCTCAAAGGTTGTCATGAGGATAAAGTGAGTTAAAACATAAAATTCTTAGAGAATACCTGACACGTATTATTCACAGTGGGTTCTGAATAAGTATTAGCTATAATAATAAATCCTAAAATAACATAGTTGTCAGTGTTCTCTTTTTATTTCCCATTCTCTTTTCCATTCCCACACCTTCCCCCTAGAAAGAGTAGAAAGGACTTTTTTTGGTCTGCTTTAGACTTGTTATCCCCAGTAGAGCTAGAAGACAATAGATTTGAATGATTAATTTAGCAAGGTAATCAGGTACCATATTGTGAATACATTTAAAAATGTTAATAAATAACAGAATTTGAGAGTTTGGCATATAAGCTATAATTCAAATATACTTTCAAAGACTTATAGCACGTGCCACTTTAATGAAGAATTTAATTTAGCATTTTGAGAGAGTCAAAATCCATTTCATTGTTTAAGAAACACAGTTTAAGATAAAGTTGTATATAGACTATTAAAGAGTGTTATATAAGTTAAGTTAGTATTGTCTTCTAAAGTTTCATGTATTTGAAGATTAAAAAAAAACCCGTTGCTGTCGAGTCGATTCTGACTCATAGCGACCCCATAGGACAGAGTAGAACTACCCCATAGGACAGAGTAGAACTGCCCCATAGGATTTCCAAGGAGCAGCTGGTGAAGTCAAACTGCCAACCTTTCTATTAGCCGCCAAGTTCTTAACGACTACACCACCAGGGCTCCAATGGAGAGGGTCAAATGAACGGTTGAAAATATAAAATTAAGCTCATTCATTCATTCTATGTGCTAAATACTGGGGCATCTATGAAAACAAGCCACGGCGTTGGCCCTCACATAGCTTACCAACTTATGTGTTTAACAACTGTATAAGATATTTTTAATAACTTTTGTGCCATAGAGTATATTTTACTATGAAATGTGTAGATACTGATTACCTAGAAAAGCTTTGTTCGGTTCCATTTACAGTTTCACAAACAAGTTGACTACAGTTTGTTCAAGACCCCCTGCCTTGAACCAAGGAGCCAGACTAGAGTTAAGTTTATATGAATCTTTTTCACCACTTTGATGAAGCCTTCTTACTGCTGTAGAGCTCAAGAGGTGGCAGAAGCAGTAAGATACACTGCTATTCTGAGTCTAGGTCTAATGAGAAAGGAATTGTTAGTGACATTAGTTGTGTTGAGCTAGTTATATTGAATAGTTTATTGGGGAGAGTCACCAGGCCATTTTATTGTCATCATAGTAAGGAAGATAACTGGGACATGGTTATGCCCATAATTTGCCCTTGAGGAAACAGATTTCAGAAAGTTTATAGCATCTGTAGGTGTGGTTCCAAGACAAGACATTTCTAAAAGAAAAGTCATGCCAAGAAACTTGTGGATGCACAAAATGCTCTGAGCAGCTCAGGTTTCTTAAAGGATGTGTATGATTGACAGATGGAAGGAACATATAATCATCACCCAGGTATACAGAGCTAAGTGTTGTTATTGTTGTTAGTCGCCATCGACTCGATTCCAACAAATAGCCCACGTGACAGAGTAGAACTACCCCACAGAGTTCTCTAGGCTGTGATCTTTATGGGAGCAGATCACCAGCTCTTTTCTCCCACAGAGCCTTTAGGTGGGTTCAAACCACCAATCTTTCAGTTAGCTGCTGAGTGCTTAACCATTGCACCACCAGGACTCCTTACCTTATGTATAACAAAACAAAAGATTGCCCAATCCTTCACCATCATCATGATTGTTGGTATACTTGAGTCCATTGTTGTGCCTATTGTGTAGTACTTTCCAATCTAGGGGGCTCATCTTCTAGCACTACATTGGAAAATATTCTGCTGTGATCCATAAAGCTTTCATTGTCTAATTTTTGGAAGTAGATCGCCAGGTCTTTCTTCCTAGTCTGTCTTAGACTGGAAACTCTGCTAAAACCTGTCCACCATGAGTGACCCTGCTGGTGTTTGAAATACCAGTGGCATAGCTTCCAGCATCACAGCAACACGCAGGCCACCACAATATGACCAAGTGACAGAAGGGTGATGGGCAGTGCTAAGTCGACTTTAAGAAATAAACATTTAAGAATTTTCTTTTCAATAGGCCAGAGCTCAAAAGGAGCTAAGGCTCACCAAAATGCTTCACAGTGCAAAAATAAGGAAGAGGTAGGCTCACTGTCTGAAAAAGATGTTCTTCTTGTTAACTGTTGACAGAGAGAATCAGACCTACATGGTTCTTCTTTGCTTCTATAATCTTCAACTAGGATGATTACTTTTCCAAGGTAAAACGAACAACCTGAAATGGGAGTACAAAGCAGAGCTAAATCCCCCCAAAAGATGAGAAGATAGTATCATTCACTTTAAATGAATTTAAGTTTTCAGGACTCAAATGAATTGCCTCCGGGGAGTTGAAGGGACTCTCCGATATGATCTCAGGGCTATTGTCAGTAATCTCTGTGAAATTATGGAGAATGTGGGAAGTGCCAGGAGACTGGAGAGAGACAAATGTCCCAGTTTCCAAAAGGGAGAAAGGTAGATTGTGAAAACTTTAGTTCATCTTCCCTAACTTTAAGCTGTGGCGACACTTGAAGAAATTTTAAAATATACGTATAGATATACACACAGAGAGAGAGATTGAGTATTTCTAAAAACAAGACATGCCAAACTGCTGTCATTTCTCTTCTTCTTTTATAATTACTACTGGTTAGATATTAGTAGAGGCATGTTGTATCTTGTCTGTAGCAAGTGTTTGACAAAGTCTTCTAGATTATCCTTGTGGAAAAGATGATGAAATGTTGGCAATTAGATTGATTTACAGCTGGTTTTACGACCACACCCATTGCTGTATGCCACAGGATTTATCTAAATAATAGCCAGTTACTCTATACACCGATTCTTCAAGGGAAACTTGAAGTAAATGTTAATTTGCGTATTTTCAGAAAGTGTGGATTTGTAGTTATGAGTCCTTTTGACATTGAATGTTCTTTGTACATTGAAACTTGAGAGCCTGAATTTATTCATATGATTGAGAGATCAGTTATAGACTTTTTCCCACCTGAGCTGTATTTCTAAGATATATAGATCAATTTTAATTTCTTTGAGACCCCTAGAAATCCTCTTCTTATTTCCCATTTTCCCCCACAAATAAGAGAAAGTCCTTTACTCTCTTATTTATTCACCTTGTATTTCAGAATCAGGCAAGTGGGCAGAAAATACCTGTTCAGTCCTACAACAGGCAGAAGGCCCTGAGGTAGGGCTTAGTTTGGCCTTTTTGAACAGCAGAAGACAGCCAGTGTGGGTGGAGTCTAGTTTAAGAAGGGGAAGAGTTAACAAAACAGGGTCAGAGATAGCCTGAGCCAGAAAGTGTAGGGCCTTTTAGGCCCTGTTTAGGAGTTTGGATTTTATTCCAAGTACAATGAAAAGTCATTGGGCTGCTTTAAACAGAGTAGTGATGGTCTGAATTATACTTTAAATCTCATTCTAGCTGCTGTGTGAATGGTGGGAGCAGGAGAGAGGCAAGAATGGATGCAGAGAGGTTGATTAGAAGGCTTTTATAGAATTCCAGAAGGGAAATGATGGTGGCTTAGACTAGGGTGATGATAGTGGAAATAGAAGTGGGCAGTATAGAATATATTTTGGAGGTAGAAGTGGCAAAAATTACTTATGGATTTGATCTGGTAGATAGAAGTGAAAAACAGAAAGCAAGGATGACTTCTAGGTTTTGGGATTGTTGTACTGGGTTGATGGTGCTGTTATTTACTAAAATGAGGAAGACTGAGGGAGAGGAAAACATTAGGGGAATGTGGAATTAAGAGTTCTGTTTTGGCTATCTGAAGTTTGAAGTGCTTATTTGATTTCCAAATATATCTGCGGTATATATGAATGCGTTTGATTAGTTTGGAGCTTGATGGAGAGAGGTCAAGAATCGAGACATGATATGAATTTGGAAGTTATCAGTAAATAGATGGTGTTAAATGCCCTGGGACTGAATGAATTTCCTTGGATATTTGTCATATTCCCTGACCAATCCCTTCTTCCTCCCCTACCTTGTAAAATTATGCTCTTAATATATTGCAGGTACATATTTTAACTATAGTACCTATAATAACTTGCATTAATTTTCTTCTTCGTGAAATATTTTTGTTTCGTTTTCCTGTTAATAGCTAAATGGTTTAAGGTATTCAATCACTTGCTTCTATATTTAACTGGAGATCTAACAGTAGTGTGTTTTGTTTTTTGTAGGCAAAGTCATTAATAAAGATTTGCGACATTACCTGAGTCTTCAGTTTCAGAAAGGATCAATTGACCACAAACTGCAGCAAGTGATCAGAGATAATCTCTACTTGAGAACCATTCCATGTAAGTGTGTGATGCAATAAAAGAAATGAGGCAGAAGTATCCTTGCTTAATTAAACATCTAGAAATAATTCAGTAGAGTATGTATCTCACATGAAATTGTAAAGACTAAGTTGGGAGACAAGAATGAAACAAAAATTGTATAATGAAATAAATTTTAAGAAAACTTCAGAATTTTTGCTTTTATAAGTAGAAAAAATGGTATATTTTCTATTGTGACTTTTTAAAAAGTGATTACTAGAATTTAAGAATATATGTTTACATGTTGCTGACTGGACTTTAAGGTGTCTTGTGGCACAGTGGTTAAAGTGCTCGGCTGCTACTGAAAGGTTGGCAGTTCGAACCCACCAACCACTCTGTGGGAGAAAGATGTGGCAGTCTGCTTCCATAAAGATCACAGCCTTGGAAACCCTATGGGGCAATTCTGCTCCATCATACAGGGCTGCTATGAGTTGGAATCGACTTGCTGGCTGTGGTTTTTTTTTTTTTTTTTAAACTGGACTTTATTCCTGTAAATCAGTTCTTGAAACCTATGTATAAGAAATTTTTGGCTCTCAGTGGCTTGTATACTGAGAACAAATTATTTTGTATGACTTATTAGAACATTACTAGTCTTAAAATCTGTCCCCTCTCCAAAGGAAAAAAAGGATGAAAAGGAAGAAGCGTGTAGTGCCTTCTTTGTGGCAATCTATTTTGAACTTTTATCTAGATGTTGATGAATCTATTCCAGGTAGTTTTCAGAAGACTTGATTGCTGTGTAATGATTTTTTTCTTTGTTTTTAAACACTCTGCTGTCCTAGTTTTGCAGTTTCTCCTCTGTGAGAGTTTGTCCTAGAAAGGAACTATAGTTTGTTTAGTTTCAAATCATAGGATTCAGAGCCCTTTGAGATCTTATAGAACCTCTTAGCTCAGTCACAAATTGAAGTGTCCAAAAACTCCTTCAAGAGCCTAGAAGCAATGACCCATCAGTAGCAGTTAGCCCACGTAGTGGTCACATGTTGTCTCTAAATATCATTTTTTCTTAACAAACACCAGGCCTTCTTGGAAAAAATTCTGATTTTAGGCCTAGGGGAAGTATAAGATGAGCTTGGAAAGTCTAATTGCACCAGAAAGTATGTAAATGCTTAAAAAATTATGAGAACATGTCAGAAGGACACATGAGCCAGCTAGAAGGGGTACCCACTGACAAAATCTGTGAAACAATTTGAGCAAGGGAATTAAAAAGAGAGAGACTTCTATTGTTTTCAGACATTGTACTACAAAGAGAACAGTAGTTCTACCTTCTGAGAGAAAGGTAAAGCTGACTATCAACAGCAGAGGAGTCCTGTGGTTTCCTCAACTTTGTGATTGGAGGTACTTACTGGACCACAGCACAGGGAGGGAGAGCCAAGGCAGAATACAGCAAACTCTGAGTTGAAGGGACAGAAATCTACATTCAAGAAGTCTGAGGTTTCTGGAATTTGCAGAACAGAGTGTCAGGAGAGGAGGGAGCTGTGAAGAACAGGAGCTCAAGCAATGTACACAGGTATCCCTCTGAGCCTGTTGCTGAATACCAAGCTAAGATGTGTAGGATGAGACTTCATGAAGTTAGGCAAAGAACTCTTTGAGAACTGTAAGGTTTAACAATTCCTAGAGCTTACACAAGGCTGAGAGACCGTTGAGTTCTAACCAGCCTGAGTGGACAGACCCCATAGGGGTCACACTTAGTCGAACTGCTAAAATAACCATAAAGTCAGCTCCTCTAGGCTTGCTTTAACAAAGCTTAATTAAGTAAACCCCCAAAGGATTAAGCTGATATGCATGTAATTTAACTGCTAGCAAAAAAAAAAGTTAGCACTCTAGAAAGGAAGACAACAAAATCATGTACTGAATAACACAATAGTCACAATGTTCTACATCTCATAAAACAAAACAAAATAAAACTATTAGACATAAAAAAGAGAAAAAAAAGTGACCCGTAATCAAAAGAAAAGTCAGCTAATAGGAGAGGGGGGTTAGAAATTACACAAAATGATGGTATTACCATACTAGGAATTTAAGAGTTATTGTAAGTATGCTCAGGACCTAATCGATAATATGAACATAATGAAGAGAAAAGGGAATACACCCTGTCCTCACTTATAAACATGGTTAGACTCCAAAGACCAGGTCGTTATGTGAAAATCAGCGTTATGCAAAAATGGAGGTTGACCACATCAGATCACAAAATGGAAGATGACTACATCATTACACAACTGCCAAATTACATCATTACATAACTGCCAAATTACATCACCAGATAAACTTTAACCATCAAAGCCAGCATTACTCTCACCTCGCACCTTGGTGTTCATTGCTGTCAGACATACATTGTTAATGTGCAAAATAATAGGATAGTAAATATGAAATGTTGGATAACAAGATAGTCAATCAGTGAGGAGAGAAAACAAACAAAAAACAATATCCGTTGCCATCAAGTGGATTCCAACTTATAGTGACCCTATACAACAGAATAGAACTACCCCTTAGGGTTTCCAAGGAGCGACTGATGGATTTGAACTGTTGCCCTTTTGGTTAGCAGCCAAGTTCTTAATCATTGTGCAACCAGGGCTCCAAGTGAGGAAAAAGTGTATATAAAAGAGAACTAAGTGGAACTTCAAAAATTCACTGGATGTGCTTAACAGCAGATTAGAAACTTCAGAAGAAAAGACCAGTAAACTTGAAGACATAGCAGTATAAACTAATCAAACTGAAGCACAAAGAGGAAAACCACTGAAAAAATGAACTTTTTTAAGCAACAAAGTAAAAAGAGAGACTTCTGCTATGAAGGACTAACTGGTACTGGATTCTCCCTCCTATTGATGATAAAGGAATCAGTTTATCTAAAGAATATAACTATCCTAAATGTGTATACACTGCCTGGTGACACAGTGGTGAAAGCGCTTGGCTGCTAACCAAAAGGTCAGTGGTTCGAACTCAGCAGTTGTTCCACAGAAGAAAGATGTGTCAGTCTGCTTCTCTAAAGATTTACAGCCTTGGAAACCCTATGGAGCAGTTCTGCTCTATCCTATAGGGTCATTATGAGTCAGAGCTGACTCGATGGCAGTGGGTTAAATGTGTATACACCTAATAACAGAGCTTCAAAATACATGAAACAGAGACTTCTGGGCAACATGGCGCTCTAGGCAGAAGCACCATGCCATCCCTCTACAGCAAAGATCAAAAAACTAGGCCAAACAGAGAAAACAGCAATTCTTAAACACTAATGATCAAATGAAGGAATAAAGAATTCAAGCAAATACCAAATGGAACAAGAAACCGACAGAGAACAGTGCACAAGGAGAGATACATGCAGAGGTCCCCTATCAGCTAACGCAGCACAGATCCGCCATCTTGGACTCCTATCAGAGACCAGCGAACAGTGGGTATGAAAAAGCAGCTTCACAGAGCTTCCAGCAAGAGACAAAACAACCAGTAACCAGTGATATATGCTTTCCCACCCCCTACCCTTCTTCACCCCCACTCGGCCTCCTCTGCTTCCCATGGCCACAGTCTCTTGGCCAGTAAGCACTGGCTGCTTGGATTCCACCCGGCTGCACTTGCCAACTCCCTGAGTGCCATCTGATGGCTGCTGGTGTTGCTTTTTCCCGCTTCTTTTGATTTCTTCCTTACCTCTCACCACCTCCCTTTCCTTTCTGTCAAATACCTGGCTCCGTGCACCGTTTTTGCTTCTTCCTGAAAGGCTGTGAAACTCCGCTTGAATGTGAAAATGCTTCCCGGTCCATGCTGCCATGCTGGTGGGATCCCGGGGCTTTTTTTGTTTGTTTGTTTTGAATTGTTTGTTTCTTTTATTTTTCTTTTCTTGAATTGGGAGCCCATTCTAGCCGAGCAGTACTGCGCAGCTTGGGACCTACCCCTTAGTTTGTGCAGGCACACAGGGGATCCCTGAGGGCATTTCTTTTTTCATGAATATTTTTCCGTTTTTTGGGGCATGTTTCTTCTTCATTTTTTAAATTAATTTGTTTTGTTTTCTTTTCCCCCTTTTTCCCTTTTTGTCTTTCTTCATTACTAAGTTTCTCATCTCTTTATACCTTCCTTCTCTTCCTGTCCCTTGAATACCTGGCACTGAGTGACACCTCTACGCCTTCTAGCCAGGCTGTACTTCAGCACCTGGGAGCAACTTCCCCAGGCCTTGTAGCTACACCGGTGGGATCCCTGGGAGCTTTTCTTTTCTTTTTTCTTTCTAATTTTTATTTATTCATTTTTTCTTTTCTTTTCTTTCTTCTTCTCCTTTTTGTTTTTCTCCATTTCATAGTCTCTCATCTCTCCACTCCAGCAGCAAGCTCCCCCAGCAGTCTTTTTTGTTTGTATGTTTTTGCCTCCTGTCCCTCCTCATTCTCCTCTCTCCCATTCCCATCTTAGCTCCACACATCACAATCCCCCCCCAATCCATCCTGCCTACCTGCACTGTGCGCTTAACATCACACCACCAAGCAGCAGAGGCACGCCCTACCGGAACCTGCTCTGCACTGAATACCAGCCCACCCTAGTGGCCATACTAAGTGCCACAAACAACCCATCCCAGCAACTCTTCAGCTAGACATGCCTTGCTGTACCATACCTGAGTGACTGACCCTGCCAATTGGAGAAGGAGGCGAAAAGTATCGTGCCCACAGAAGAACAAACAAGAAAGAACACATAGCCGGCCTGCTCAGACATAGCCAAATTAAAAAAAAAAAAAAGAAACAAACAAATCTACAACCAGTAAACGACGAAGATTACTAGTGAATGCCCCAAAGACAGCAGACAATATCAAAACATTTACAAAAACAGGACAGGATGGTTCCAGTAGGCTTCCAAACTAAAACACCAGATGAC